TCTGCATTAATATACATTGTAAGTACCAAGTGGTTTCATTTCAAAGACACACATTCATTACATTGTCATTTTGGAACAGAGAATGTCATAGCACTAAATTGAAAAGCAGGTAAAATCGTTAGTGACATTACACAGTTACAATTTATGATATAGATCAACTTCCCTCAGGTAATTCAGTATCAGATGAGCGCTCACGCGGGAGAACAGATCTTTCAGATTGGTTGCGTGATAATGCGAGTCCCTTGCAGGTTTAAAGTCCACACAGTCAAGCAGAATATGTTTGACGGTGAAAGCCTCATCGCAGGAGAGACATATGGGGGTTCCATCCCCATCCGTTTTTAGCAGATAGTCATGTGTAAATCGACTGTGGCCAATACAACATCGTCGTAAAATTATTTCATCACGTCTTGACTGGCAACCCAAGTAGGTATAACCGATTGTTGGCTTCAATTCATGGAGTTTGTTTCTTCCCACTTGAGTTTCCCACCTTTTTTGCATCAGGTCCCGAGTATAGCTTTTGATAGTGGGTTTGAAATCACTGTACGGGATTAGCAGTGGAGATAGGGGCTTTTCAAGAGCTGCTTTTGCTGCAGCATCGGCCTTAGTGTTACCTGCTATGCCGACGTGACCCGGCAACCAGCAGAGGACGATGTCATATTGACCACTAGAAAGGTCGTTGTACAGTTCTAGTATGTTCAGGATGATTGGGTGACTTGAAGTCACGTTTAGAAGTGCTTGAAGGCAGGATAATGAATCTGTAAAAACGATGAAGTTTTTGGACTGATTTTGCTGTTGAATGTAGGTCAAAGCTGAGAAAATAGCTTTGGCTTCAGCGGTGAAAATGGAGCTGTTGTCGGGGATCCTAGAGGAGACAGTCTTGGATCCAATGACTGTAGCGCTGGCAACTTGGCCATCGTCCTTGGATCCGTCTGTGAAAATGGATCTGTGAGTGTTATACTTCGAACGTAACTGGTTGTATTCCTGTTGGAACACCAAAGGATTTGTTTCAGACTTTTTGAGTTTGGTGAGGGTGCGATCGACCTGTGGTTTCACCATTTGTCATGTTGTTGAGGACAGAAGTCGGTATGGTGCAATGATGTTGAGATCAATTTTAGCTGCAGATATGTGTGGTTTGATCCTGATTCCAAGTGGTGGAACCAGGCTTGGCAGTTTAGGAAATAAGTTTTCATAGGGCGGGTTGAAGACACAATTGTATGCTGGATTGGACTCATTTGAACGTAATTTAGTGATATACTGCAGTGAGAGTTTAATGCGGCGTTGCTCAAGGGAAGGTTCATTGGCCTCCGCATATAGACTGTCTACCGGAGAGGTCCTAAAAAGCTCCCAGGCAGAGCCTCAGCCCTTGGTGGTGGATAGAGTCTAATTTTTCTAAATTGCTTTTGCAGGCTCCACCGTAGACAATGGAGCCATAATCTAGTTTACTGCGAACTAATGATCTGTACAAATGAAGGAGGGTGGTCTGATCCCCTCCCCACTCTGTATTTGAGACTACTTTTAGCAAGTCTAGAGCCTTCAAGCACTTTGTTTTCAAATATTTTATGTGTGGTAAAAAATGTCAGGTGGCGGTCGAATATGAGTCCAAGGAATTTGGCCTCTTCTACTACCTTGAAGGGAGTACCATCTAAAGTTAGGTCTGGATCCTTGTCTGGTTTGTATTTACGACAAAAGTGAATACAATTTGTTTTGGATTTTGAAAACTTAAAATCATTTTCATTGGCCCATTTTTGGATTTTGTTAAGGCAGAGTTGTAGCTGCCTTTCTATTGCGTGCATGTTCTTACCACGACATGAAATATTGAAGTCATCCACGAAAAGGGACCCATCAACGCAACTGTTCAGAACGTTTGTGAGGCTGTTAATTTTGATGCTAAAAAAGTGTGCATGACATAAGATGAAAGCAATAGCTAAGCGTGCCCGACGTAACGTGGAAGCAGTAGCAGGGTGTGCCTGATGTAATGTGGAAGCAATAGCTAAGCGTGCATGACATAGCGTGGAAGCAATCGCTATGCGTACTTGACGTAACGTGGATAGCAATGGCAGGGTGTGCCTGACGGAAAGAGGAAGCAATATCTAGGCGTGCCTGACGTAACATAGAAGCAATATCAGGGCTTGTCTGATGTCATGTGGAAGCAATAGCAAGCGTGCATGACGTAACGTGGAAGCAATAGCAGGTTGTGCTTGACGTAACGTGAAAGCAATAGCAGGGCGTGCATGAAATAACGTGAAAGGAATAGCAGGGTGTGCCCGACGTAAGGTTGAAGCAATAGCTAAGCATGCCCGATGTAAAGTGGAAGCAATAGCAGGTTGTGCCTGATGTAACATGGAAGCAATGGCAGAGCATGCCTGATGTAACGTGGAAGCAATACATAAGCGTACCTTACCTAACATGGAGCAATAGCTAGGCGTGCATGAAGTAACATTAAAGCAATAGCAGGGTGTGCATGACGTAACGTGAAGGCAATATAGCGCGTTTTGACATTAGGTGGAAGCAATAGCAAGCGTGCATGATGTGAGGACGAAGCAATAGCAGGGTGTGCCTGATGTAACGTGAAAGTAATAGCAGGGCGTGCCTGACGTAACGTGGAAGCAATAGCCGGGTGTGCCTGACATAACGTGGAAGGAATAGCAGGGTGTGCCAGACGTCACGTGAAGGCAATATGGGGCATGCCTGACATAAGGTGGAAGCAATAGCTAAGCGTGCATGACGTAACGTGGAAGCAATAGCAGGGTGTGTCTTACGTAACGTGGCAGCAGTAGCTGTTTGTGTCTGACAACGTGGAAGCAATAGCTAGGCATGCGTGATGTAACGTGGAAGCAATAGCAGGTTGTGCCAGACGTAACGTGACAGCAATAGCAGGGCGTGCCTGACGTAACGTGAAAGCAATAGGAGGGAGTGCCTGACGTAACCTAGAAGCAATATCAAGGCGCGCCTGAAGTAACGTAAAAGCAATAGCCAAGCGTGCCTGACATAACGTGGAAGCAATAGCTAGGCGTGCATGACACAGATTGGAAGCAATAACATTGCGTGCCTGACGTAACATGAAAGCAAAAACAGGGCGTGCTTGACGTAACATGGAAGCAATCGCTATTCGTACCTGACTTAACGAGGAAGCAATGGTAGTATGTGCCTGACGTAACGTGGAAGCAATAACTAAGCGTAACTGACGTAACGTGAAAGCAATGGCAGGGCATGCCTGATGTAAAGTAGAAGCAATATCACAGCTTGCATGAAGTAATGTTGAAGCAATAGCAGGGTGTGAAGGACGTATCGTGAAGGCAATAGCAGGGCGTGCCTGACATAACGTAGAAGCAATATCAGGGGTTGCCAGACGTAACGTGGAAGCAATAGCTAGACGTGCATGACGTAACGTGGAAGCAATAGCAATGTGTTCCTGACGTAACCTTGAAGCAATAACTAAGCCTGCCTGACGTAACGTGGAAGCAATCGCTATGCGTGCCTGACGTAATGTGGAAGCAATGGCAGGGCGTACCTCACGTTACGTAGAAGCAATAACTGAGCGTGCCTGACGTAACGTGAAATCAATAGCAGGGCGTGCCTGACGTAGCGTAGAAGCAATATCATGTCTTGCCTGACTTAATGGTGAAGCAATTGCAGGGTGTCCTGACCTAACATGAAAGCAATAGCAGGGCGTGCCTGGCCTAAGGTGAAAGCAATACCATGGCGTGCTTGATGTAAGGATGAAGTAATAGCTAAGCATGCCCGACGTAAGGTGGAAGCAATAGCAGGGTGTGCCTGATGTAACGTGGAAGCAATAGCTAACTGTGCCTTAAGTAACATGGAAGCTAGGCGTCCATGAAGTAACGTGAAAGCAATAACAGTGTGTGCCTGACGTAACGTGAAGGCATTATAGCGTGTGCCTGACGTAAGGTGGAAGAAGTACCTAGCTGTGCATCACGTAACGTGGAAGCAATAGCAGGGTGTGCCTGATGTAACATGGAAGCAATAGCTAAGCGTGCCCGATGTAACGTGTAAGCAATAGCTAAGTGTGCCTTACGTAACTTGGAAGCAATAGCTAGGCGTGCATGAAGTAATGTGAAAGCAATAGCATTGTGTTCCTGACGTAACGTGAAGGCAATATAGCGCGTGCCTGACGTAACGTGGAAGCAATAGCTAAGCTTGCATGACGTAACGTGGAAGCAATAGCAGGGTGTGCCTGACGTAACGTGCACCTACATGTCTTACCCCAGTTTGTCTCAACCCTGAACATTGTTCAAGATGTTAATCTGGCAGTATGATCGTAGATGCACGAACCAGTTAGTTTTTTTGTTGCAATGCCACACCGGGACACTTGCGTTTCCCGTTTGTGTTATGTGAGATTGGATAACAGTTTCCTGTGAATGTTTGCCTGATATGATGAAGATGATATTATGTGTCAGAGCTCTGACTGACATACTTTTGTCAGGATGAGCGGTTCGTTGATTTCTTATTTAACGCCCTACTCAGCAATATGCCAACTATGAGGCGGCGGTCTCGATCAGACAATCCAGTGATCAACATCATGAGCATCGATCTACACAATTGGGAAACAGTGACGTGTCCACCATACCCGCGAGCCCGACAACCCGTTAGTTGTCTTTTACGACAAGCATGAGTTGCTGAAGACCAATTCTAACACGGGTCAAGAGCGTTTGTAAGTATCAGGACATTGAACATGTAAACAAGTGAATGAGCAACGAAGGAAGTACGAGCGTGAGCTTCCGTCCAAGGTGGCGACAAGGTGTTCAATCTCACAAAAAAACTATTGTCCAATCTCGCATGAAACGTTTTTACAATCTCACATGAAACTATTGCCCAATGCAATCTCACATGAAATTATTGTCCAATGTAAAACGATATCAGGTATCAAGAATATATAAATTCATATGGATAACGGTTTCCTTTTTAGGTGAACTTAGGTCTCGATCAAGACAGCAACAACTTACATGTTCCTTTAATCGATTTTCTTTTCGTTATTCCAGACTATTTAATAGGGGCCGGAGAAGACATCCGCGTGGTGCCAGGATGTTACGAGACTGTGTCTGCTGCTTTTGACAAAGTTCGGGAAAATCTGAAAACGGATTCCGGTGTGAAGAGTCTACAGTCTCTATTTAGGTACGGATAACTCGAGAACTGATTGTTACAAACAGCCTATACCACTGAACGTTGTCTCTCAGTGATCGTCTTCCTGGGCAGGGGAACTGTCTACAAAAGTTCAGTTTCCACTAATGCCGAACTGGGATCCGGGTTAGAATTGATCTTCAGTAACCCATGCTTGTTGTAAGAGGCGACTAACGGGATCTGGTGGTCAGACTTAATTGACTTGGTTCACACATCCCAGTTGCGCAGACCGATGCTCATTATTGTCTGTTCCAGACTCGATTATTCACAGGCCGCCGCCCTATTGCTGGAATATTGCTGAGCGCGGCGTCAACCTAAACTCACTCACTCACTATGATCAATTAACATGTAATACACTCTTGAAAGGGAAGGTTTGGTAGCCTAGTGGTTAAAACGTTCGCACGTCACGCCAAAGACTCGTGTTCGATTCCTTATATGGGTGCAATGTGTGAAGTCCATTTCTGGTGTCCCCATGCGTGGTCTTGCTGGAATATTGTTTAAAAAGCGGCGTAAAACTAAACTCTCTCACTTCTTGAAAGGAGACTCTGTGGTACTAGGATTGTAATGTAATGAGTGAATGAGTGATCTAGTTGGGTTTTACGCCGTTTTAATTAGCAATATTCCAGCAGTACCATGGCGGGGGACACCAGAAACGGGTTTCACTTTTTGTACCCATTTGGGAAACGAACTCGGCCTTTCGGCCAGACAAAAGGCTTTAACTACATGGCTACCCCACCGCGTAATGTAAACAATAATGATGACATGAAAGTGTTTTTCTTTGTCTGTTTAGAGTTTGTGATTTTGACCAGACAAACAAGCGGGATGTTGACAATCTGATGATGGATCTGGTCGCACCAATCGTATCAACAATACAATTCAACAACGTCCGTCCAGGTTCACTGGTATGTTTGTACATATCTTTTAACTGTGGAGTCGGATATCTTTTTAATTATGGTTTTATTCATTTCATAGTTACATAGTTACATATTTTAGTAACAGAGGTGAGTGAGTATGGTTTAACGCCGCTTTTAGCAATATTCCAGCAATATCACTGAGGGGGACACCAGAGTCGGATATTTGCATTATCCTTACAAACATTCAGATACAACAAATGGATGTGTATATTGTTCACTCATCCATCAATGTCGACTGAAATTATTCATGAAAGACTTCTGACATATGTGTCATATATTTAACGTACCCTAGGTCCATTAGACCATGATTTTTTTCAGTTTAAAAACATAGCGTATGCGCACGGTTGCTTGTGTGTGTGTGTGTGTGTGTGTGTGTGTGTGTGTGTGTGTGTGTGTGTGTGTGTGTGTGTGTGTGTGTGTGTGTGTGTGTGTGTGTGTGTTGTCTGTACCACATAATGTGTGTGTTTGTGGCTGCACATACTGATAGTCCAAAGACACACCCTGTCATGGTGCGTGGACTTGCGTGAGAGTAGTGCTTTTGTAATGGCCAATGCCGGTTTTCTAATGCAATCTCACTTAGAAACCCTGCCATGTATGTGTTGGCGTGTGTGGCGTGTGTTTTCGAGGTTGCCGAAGGACATATCTGCTTCACACTACATGCTTAATGCGGGGCGGTGGGGTAGCTTTGTGGTTAAAGCTTTCGCTCGTCACGCCGAAGACTCGGGTTCGATTCCCCACATAGGTACAATGCGTGAAGGCCATTTCTGGTGTCCCCCGAGGTGATGAACTAAACTCGTTCACTCAAGCTTAATGTGGTCGTGTGTGTATTCTGTAGATGGTCATTCCAAATCATACGATATCCTCAATGTGCAACGTGCTGGCCGACAAGACCACGGGACTCCCTCTCCAACGTCTTGCGGAGTGGGCCCGCATCTACAACCAGAACTACACAGCCCAGAAAGATCAGTGCCGCAACTCGACATTTGCCTCCCTTGTCAGCACAGGCAGCGTCATCAACTACGGCAACGATGATGCATTTTCAAGTGCGGTAACCCTTGTGTAACCTATAGATTTCACTTTCTCAATATATCAAATAATTCTAGAGGGGTTAAGTCCCACTGGTTTATTGGCACTCAATCCCCATAAGTACTCTAACTGTACTTTAATGAAAAAGTGTAATGCCAGATGTAACATATAATTTGACCACTTTCTTAAAAGAAATGTGTTTTCAGACACTTACCTATGTATGATGTTTAAGATTTTCTGTTTTCTCCCTGGAATGAAAAGTGAGTGAGTGAGTGAGTGAGTTTAGTTTACGCCGCAGTCAGAAATATGCCAGCTATATGGTGTCGGTCTGTAAATAATCGAGTCTGGACCACACAATTAAGCGATTAACAGCATGAGCATCGATCTGTGCAATTACGACAAGCATGGGTTACTGAAGGTTCATTCTAACCCGGACCTTCACGAGTTGGAATGAAAAGGCCAACGATTGTGGACACTACTACAATCAGTAATTGGGTTTGCCACCAAATTGATAGTTCCTTAACGCTCGTGATAGGAAACGTCCGTCTGTCAGCTTTCTTATATGTACATATTTTAATTTAGATGTCTATGTCAGTATCTTACCTATGATTGGTTTGTACAATGTAAGGACATAACGAAACGTTTAGGAGACGAACGAACACATCGACGTCCTCAACGTCCTCAAAGTTGTCGATGTTGCCCGCTTTCGAGTGAGTGAGTGAGTGCGTGAGTAAGTTATAATTTAAACTCACATCGGCAGTATTTCCTCCATATCGTGACTAAGAAAGTTGTAAATTTATACATTAATAAAACAAATTTAGATAACATACTTACCTGGCTGCAAAGGACAGTAAAATAACTAGAATGTCATAGTTGTAAAACTAGAATGAAAATCTAAAACATCTTAAAGGTCACATGCAACGTAAAATACAACTTTGCAGAATCTGATACCTTTCGGTGTGGACTTACTGAAACAAATCATCAAAAATGCAAATTCAACTTATAAAGTTGAAAAATAACGCGATGAAAAAAACCGGGCGAATTCGGAGTTCAAACGATTCACTAATTTTCCCCCAGCGCTTGGGGGAAAAGTGGTTTCAACAGCTGGGCTGCGCTCATAGCACATGCGCAGTGAAATATAGGTTCGCGCGCATCTTGGATTGTCCGGTGAATAATCAGTAAAGGCTTTGGTGTGAGCTATATTTTTTAATGTTTTGTTGATATTTCACAGGCGCGAGCTTTTAATATGTTATAACAGTAGATTACAGATTTAACTGTTTATATAATTTCATTTGTCTATTTCACCACACGTTCTTCTTACCGAGTCACTTTCTGAGTTCGATACTTAAAAGCAATGTCATTATTTAGCGTTGACAGAATTTCTAACTGTGATATAGATATGTCGTTGTCACAGACAGTTTCTAGGGAAGTAAACCCAAGTACAAAATATTTCACTTTTGATTTGCGATTGTATGCTTATAATTTTGTTTATATGTTTTTCATAATCAGCAATGTATATTATATGTCATGAATAAGTGATAATTGTGTTTTAATTATGTTTGATTTTTTGGTTGCATGTAACCTTTAACTATGAAACACAATACAATATATAAAATACAGGCTATAGATTTCCAACAACTGAAGGTAGATCACTGCCCACTTCGGAAAGCCATCTCGTCCATTTGTAAGTATATAAATAGACATGTGGACCTGGGTAGATCCTAACGCAGAACTGTTCAGAACATGCAACATAAAATGATCATTATCTTTACATAAAGTGAGTATTTTAGGTCATGGCCTGTATTCCCCCCACATTTTAAACTAAAAATGCTGAACCAATTAATATGCATAATTTATCTTTACATTGAATTTGAAATTCCAGTTCGTCAGTGGAGATATCAACAATGCACCCAAATTGGGATGTTCGTTGCGGCAACTTCAGACAGGCAGCCTATAGGAAACGCAGTAAGTGAAGAGTGAGTACACAGCCTCAATTATTCGTAACATATATACTTATATTCGTAACAGAAACTCTCACATAAAAAGTTTTGGTTTTTTTTCCAGGCGATCCTGAAATACTATATACTCAGAAATTCTAACCGACACGCCTTTGGACAATATTTTAGTCACGATTTTGTCAGCATATATGTTGGACAACTCAAAGTGGTGCAAGACGAATATCTTGGTTAGAAAACCAGGGCAGCAATCCGCAGGAGATAGAGCGCCAAGATCAGCTTAAAACCCTTACTTTACATAGTCTAGCTTTGTATTGAGGAACGCAGGAGTGAACTTGACGGTATTTCAATCAAAACTTCTAATCATGGCAAAACTGGCAAACAGCAGTCATTGACTGTGTGCGAGTATGGTGTTACACTACTTTAAGCAGAAATTGGACCCATGTAGGGAATCGAACCCTGGTCTTCAGCGTGACAAGCAGACACTATAACCACAGAGCTACAACACTACCACTTGCAGTGCCTAAGGCAGTTATTCGTCAATATTGTCTTATGTCATCAATAGTATCTAACAGGTGGGAATATGGTATTGATATAGCGAGTAAACATTGTTTAACGTCGTACCAGCAATTTTGCAGCATTTGGAGACGAGAAACGCGTTTCATTGTATCATACACTGAACGCAATCAAAGATATTTGGAAATTTACTAATATCTCAGTCAAATACAATATTAAGGGTAAAAGACTTACTTGAAAGACAAAAGATACATATTTTTCACACAGTTTGATTTCTTTTAAATATGCTAAAATCACGTGGTTTGAAACTGCCCTAAATTGTTCAGATGACGAAAGAACATCATCATTAAAACTTTGTATGATCTGTGAAAAATGATATCTGGCTAGGGAAATATTGCGGTGGATCTTCTCCGTTTAATAACAAGGAATGTTTATAGTAACTACGCACATCGTCGTATCACAACCTCATCTTGACGAAACAGTCCAGTGAATGGATTCTGTCCCATGTTGGGTTCAATTGAATGGTTTAATTGCAATGATGTAACAAAAAGTGGAATGCTGAATTATGTTTTTGTTGATTTTTTACAGTTACTATTACAAACTATGTGAAGGTATGTTTGGTCCGGCGTTTACTCAGTCCTTGGTGAAACGTGGACATGACGACATCATTATGAACTACGGTGGCCTTGACATCCGGGTAACTAACATCATCTACACTCAAGGTACAGATGATCCATGGATCAAGTATGGGTTCACCAGGAATCCAAACCCTAGGGCATACGCAGTAGTTGTCAAAGGTATGTGGCTGATGTCTTCAAGTCAAAACATTGATTACACAACAGTCTCGTTTCCTGCTAGGTGGGTTCCGTCCTTTTGCGCAACTTGTACAATAACCAGTCCAGAATTTTGAGACCAACCCATTCAACTGGACATATAGATATTAATCAGTATTATTTGATACATTTAATCATTGCAACACTACGCTACTTCTAATCCTTGCTAACACGTCGAACAGCGTGCTCTGTCGTATAGCTTGCTCTGACAAAGGGAAATCTGGAAATCGTGGAAATCTCAAAACGAGGCTCGGTCGCTAGAAAAATTTAGAGGTCTTGTACAGCCTTGATATTCTATCAATTACATTGTACGATACACGAATACACTTAATAAGCCAAAAACAACATACCAGGTGTTACCAGTGAGCTAGATGAATTGTGAATCATTTTACGACTTCATCAAACCTGGGCAGTCTGTGACGTCTTAGTTAACGCCATGCTACCTACACCTCGCCATAAAATATAGAAATACGATTTTATTTTAAGTTTAAAATTAAAATTCATTTTCTTACAAGGTATTGGAATTTCGTGTAAACATTGTTGTTTGTAGTGTCTTTTTTCAATTTCACACGAAAAAAATCGGATCGGTTGAAAAGTGGGTCATTGTCTGAACTGGTTCATGGGACATGCACCATCGTGGTATAGACCACTTCCGTGGCCCAATGGATAAACTGTCTACACTGAGTGCGTAAGTCTGAGGTTCGATCCCCCATCGCATCATATACTGTCACTGACGGGGTCTCACCACTATATAAATGGAATGAGAAGTATCGCGGTCAACAAGTGTCAACAGTCCTCACTTTCAATACCCACCTAAAACTATAAAATCCTTTCAAGCCAAATATTAACAAAAGAGGGAGACATATGTCACAAAACCAAATTGAATGAGGGAGTGAGTTAATATTTTGAGGCACATCGGCAATATTTCAGCCATACCGTGACTAAAAACAAGCTATAATTTCATAACTAAAGGTAAATTATAAAAAAAACACATTTCGGCCAAGGGCAGTAAAAACAACTAGAATATCAGAGATATAAATGTAAAACTAGTAATTAAAATCTAAAACATTTGAACTACAGATGACAAAACAATATAAAAACAGGCTATACAACTGAAAGCAGATCAACATGCAAGGGATCATGGGGACTTACAGTACATTCAAAAGCTAAAGTCGTACCGTGGGAGCTAACGTCTTCAGTAGATCTATCGTGACTCTACGATTCCGAGCAAAATTCCTGCTCAGAATTTGTACCGATATCTCACGGAAATTCCTGTTTACTGTATCGTGTACACACACGACACACACCAAAACACGCTGAATCGATGGCATCTTTGAGCGTACTCTCATCAATTATTTCTGAGCCATAATGGGTTTACAAACATTCATTTATCGCAGTTGGGACCGATCCGTCTCCGTTCGCCATTGACGACTGACACGCACACACGCACACATCGTAAATTCCTTGCACACATCGTGTATTTCTTGCATACGTATAGGCAGATAATGAATATATGCACGAAATTAATTCATGACACAGTAATGGCACTTATTAAGTTATTCATTTTCACGAAGACTGGTATATTCGAGATACTTTCAACTGGCCTCGTTCACTGCAAATACTGGGTGATTGAATATGGGTTTTACGCCGCTTATAGCAATATTCCAGCAATATTATGGCGAGGGACACCAAAAATGAGCTTCACATATGTGGGGAATCGAACCAGGGTCTTGACGTCACAGGCAAATACTTTCACCCGTAGGCTACCTCACCATCTGCATTCAGGAAACAGTCACGTGGATGCAGTTGTGACGATGTCTCAATTGTCCGCAAAAATGGCTACAAGTCTAGGTGTGATAAAGTGACGTGAATGATTCATGTAAAACCTTTCAATCCATTTGTGATTTTCTTCAGCACCGTTGCACATTGCTAGTGCTTGCAGGTATACGTACTGTCGTAGTTTTCAAATGGTTGCCTGTTCTCTTCACAGTTCATGCTTGGAGTCAGGAATAACATTGATTTGCTGAGGAATAAAGACAATGACGTGGAGCGTGGATGGCAAAATAGTTTTATTTTAAAGAATTACCTTTTAGCTATTCTGGGCTGGATTTTTTTACGAAACTGAATATGTTTTAGATCTATAATGTAGAATATTTCTTACACATGGAAAGACGAAGAACATCAACTAGGTGGTCTTATAGAACTTGACCATGGTGTCAGGGTGCATGAAACTTCTAGGATATATAGGTTACACAAAACCAAATATTTCCATTGACTTCTATAGTAACGTTTTAATTTATTTTTCAAATTAACTAAGCCATTTGCAGCTATTATATGCAATTGTGTTCATAGTCCGGCCTTAATGAACAATGAAAATATAAAAAATGACAAACTCAGCCAGGTTTTTTTCCGAGTTAAGGAGGCTAAACAAACCTGCTAGACAAACAAACAAACCGCTTGAAAATTCCTGTTGTCATATTTAGCATAAGTCATCATGTAAAAAAAAGCAGCACTTAATATTAAAAATATGGTCAGTTTAAATTACAGGATGGATGTACATTTACAAATTAAACATTCTGAATAATCAAAAAATCCTCCAATCACAGCTGCCATAGGACTCAGTCTGCAGTGAAGACAAATCACGGATTCTCATTTGGTATAGTATAACCTGTGCATAGAGTTCTTGTTGCTCTTATTACCAGGACTACTGAACATATTATTCCTTTAATGTGTTGCAGGCGTCGGTCACGTGGCAGCCATGTTCCCATCCTCCACTTCAGACAGTGTTGACTTGAAAAAGGCTCGTCTGGAAATCCAGCGCCTCATTGGTCAGATTTTATCATCACGAGATGCAGTCATTGTGGGATGAACAGCTGCTCACTGTGACATGAAGATACATGTAGTGACAATATAATGCATAATCGTACAAATGAGTGAGTGAGTTAAGTTTTACGCCGCACTCAGCAATATTCCAGCTATATGGCGGCGGTCTGTAAATAATTGATTCTGGACCAGACAATCCAGTGTTCAACAGCATGGGCATCGATCTATAAGTGAAAAGGCCAATATACACGAAATTCCTCAATAAAATCAAGTGTTTAAACGAAACTGATGTACATTTTCACAATGTTTGTTATAGTTTATGACACTTATCTGTTGAGCAGTGCCTGTTTTATGAGAGAATGCACACAAACATATCGATGCAGAAGTGGTCTTGATCATAATCCTTACTTGACACTCAATATAACACAATCCTGACAGGACACTCAAGATAACATATTCCTTCATGGACAATCAAGATAACATAATGCTTACCAGACAATCAAGATAACATAATCCTTACTGGACAGTCAAGATAACATAATCATTAGCAGACAATCAAGACAACATAATCCTTACTGGACAATCAAGATGACATAATCCTTACTGGACAATAAAGATAACATGATCCTTACTGGACAATTAAGATAACATAATCCTTACTGGAGAATCTATATAACGTAATCCTTACCAGACCATCAAGATAACATAATCCTTATTGGCTAATCAAGATAACATAATCCGTACTGGACAATCAAGATAACATAATCCTTACCAGACAATCAAGATAACATAATCCTTACTGGACAGTCAAGATAGCATAATCCTTACCAGAAAATCAAGATAACATAAACCTTACTGCACAATCTAGATAACATAATCCTTAGCGGACAATCAAGACAACATAATGCTTACTGGACAATCGAGATAACATGATCCTTACTGGACAATCAAGATGACATAATCCTTACTGGAGAATCTAGATAACGTAATCCTTACCAGACAATCAAGATAAAATAATCCTTATTGGCTAATCAAGATAACCTAATCCGTACTTGACAGACAAGATAATATAATTCTTACATGACAATCAAGATAACAAAATCCTACTGGACAGTCAAGAAAGCATAAGCCTTACTGGACAATGAAGATAACATAATTCTTACCAGACAATCAATATAACATATCCTTACCAGACAATCAAGATAACAAAATCCTTATTGGTAAATCATGACAACATAATCCTTACTGGAGAACCAAGATAACATAATGCTTACCAGACAATCAAGGTAACATAATCCTTACCAGATAATCATGATAACATAATACTTACCAGGCAATTATGATAGCATAATCCTTACTGAACAATCAAGATAACAGTACAAGAATCTGTATCGAAACGTCGCACTCACGAAATAAAGAAGTTGTTATCCATAAAAACTTGTTCCATAATGATTCTAGTTTTGTTGGTTACATTTCCATCCTGTTTTGTTTATAGTAATTATTATTGCTAATACATCGAAGAAAGTACAGATGACATTTTCTGATATAAATGGAAATTTACTCATACAGAAGCATTCTGGCCTGCTAAATATAAATGTTCACAATAAAAAGACATTTTTTTTAAAGCAAGTGTACAACCGGAAAGGTACTTATGACTGCTATAAACTTGAAAATACATAGAATTGTTGGTCTGCCATTCAAAGAAAGTGTGTTGACATTGGTAACATTCACACAAACTTAGACGTGGGTAATCTGGCAGCATACAGAATTAACCAGGACCATTTACTTAGGTAAATGTATTTATAGGACAATGCTAACCAGCTTCGGATGAAAGCTAAATATATGAAGATACAATTGAGAACAAATAGCCACGTAATCACAGAAAATAAATGGATACGTCGTTACTACAAACGAATTATTTCAAATTCAAGTATATCCACTGAACAATACTAGTGTATTCAGCAAAGGTGGAACCATATAATGACAATGTCAACAACAACAGTAATATATCAACACTCAGTCTAATAACGCAGTGTAATAATTGGACCAACTCTTTAGTATGATTTATAAACATGGGAACTGTTCAAGTAATGCCTGTACTAGGTAAGCATATAACTAGTAGGCACATGAAGAAAAGATGTATTTATGGATATTGATTCTGATATCATCCAAAGAAGTGAATCTACATTTGCTGAACCACTGAAAGTCACTGAAAAACACCAACGATGTCCGGCATAAACAGATTCATATAAAGTCAAAAGATATAAATTGATGGAAATCCACAGAAAGCAGCATCAGCAGCTTCTGCTGCAAAGGCAAAATCAGTACTAATGACGGCTCTGAGCATTAGGTCAAGGTCGTGTGGTCGTCCACAGGAATGTTCAGCAAGTATCTTCCAATTTCAAAGGCTAATCCAACAATCCATTTCAACCCCACATCACATGAGTCATGTTGTCATCGAATCGTCACGCTGTGGGTGTTGACCTGTCAAGCGATGAGTATAAGCTTCTTGTTGCAGAATACGATTACGTTGGACCTTAATGATTTAACAGTTCAAGGTTGCTGTGAAGATCAGAGACTGCATGAAAGGCTGCATTAACTTGAAGTGAATTTCGGTATAACAGAACGCCTGATTACAGTTGATTGGTTCATTCTGTGAACAAAATACCAGGATACCTGGTCGCAGGTTGGGTGTGGTCTGGTCTGGTCAGATCACCTCCGGGATCTCATCAAGAATAATGATTTGTTTAATATTGCAATGTATGTTTGGAGTGAGTGAGTTTAGTTTTACGTCGCTTTTATTATTCCCTCAACATCACGGCCGGGGACACCAGAAATGGGCTACACACATTGTACCAATGTATGGAATCGAACTCGGGTCTTTGGCGAGACGAGTGAACGCTTTAACCACTGGGTTACCCCACCGATCCGTTTGTTTGGAACTCGAGTGTATTTACCGTGTATGTTATATTGTCAAAAACTATACAAAGTGTGGACTGTAGCTTATGATTAATGGTTTTAATTAAAGAGCAAATTTAGAGAAGTTTTACACTCTCGGATCAGGCTTTGCAATCTCTGGAAAACTGGGACATAATTGTACGATCCGTTACTATTGTGTAGTCTGATGCGGCAACAGTCAGGAGAGTATGGGTGGTGAGGTCACATCTCCCGTCAGAGGCACGCCTATCAGCTGTCCTGCAGACAAAGGCGACGTGATTGGTGCAGTGGTCCATGCACTGTTGTTCAGTCACCCCGGTGTAGGTAGCCATGTTGTTGTTGCCGATATAGTAGCCACGGATTGTAGTGTAATGAGGACCGTACTCTGTACAGGCTGCAAACAAATTAGTTATGTTGTATATTTCTGAGACATGATGCACAAGATGGGTTAGGGTACTTAAAATGAAGTCAGATGAATGTCAGTTAAAGACTGGTTGAAGTTGATGATGAAAGAATAGTTTGTACACTGAACAGAAGCCCGCCAATAATTTTCAGCTTTTGTTCACCCATCACCCAGCAATAATTTGGTTGTTCTGCACAAGACAGTCGTCAAAAACGATTATGGTCCATGAGGTACTCGCTCTATTTCAGGATGTAATTTTGAATGCACATAATCACACCAAAACAACCTGGCAAGAGTCCTTTCGTCTCCTTCATAAAATATATTCGACCCTCAAGTGTCCATGGCTGTGCTGATCGGGTCGACACGAGTTTACCACTATGTTTGGACTAACAGCCTTGAACTAGCTCATTCTGCAAACATAATGGTGACTGTTCGGACTATATCTTTCACTTCTGTTGGGTTTTATTATACACTCTGCAAAAACGTGACGTGTGAATTTTCACCATTTTACCATTGAAGCTACATGAAATAATTGCTCTTAAACTAACGCAATAAATTCTTTAAAATGGCTTATGCGTTTCTTGTTTTTGTTTGTATAACTAGAACGGCGTTGGCATGTCTAGCAGTATTCTCGATGCTTTACGATCATAAAAGCAAGTTAAGCGTCAGAGCGTCAGCTTGGTTTCTTCCAGACTACACAAAGAAGCAGAACTAGTTAATCATTTTGACTTCAAAATCAGTAGTTCAAAATGTGCAGTTAAAGGCATAATGTGTTCCCTAATACTTATTACCACTAATAAAACGGTATTATTCAAATCAACCAAATGACGGATGAAGGGGAGTGGGGAATGGAAATGCAGCACGTCAGAATTTACAAAAAAATTAAAACCACCAGGAAGCATCCCCTTGTGAAGGGTTTACAAAGGAGTATGTCCGTAAGTAATTTCACTTGGACCTTTGGTCGTTGGAAACAAAGCGGGTTTACAAACCCACTTGTCAGACAGACAGACAGACAGACATATTTATTCAATAAAGAGGCCTTGGGCCCATGATACATGCTTTCTTGGTGATATCTATAATAATTTGGGTGAGAATATAGCTGCAGAGCAGGCACAGGTATGCAAATTTGTAATAAATATTATATTACATGGACGTCAAGTGGGTGAGAATATAGCTGCAGAGAAGGCACAGGTATGCAAATGTGTTACAAATATCATATGGACAACAAAATGCATTTATAAATTGTTGGTTTGAAATGATGAGCCTTACTGTGTACCAGAAATAACTGAAGGGCTAAATGCTTTGGGTTAATAGTATTGAGTCAAAGTTTCCATACTTTGTATAAACACATACGTATACTATGCATGGATAGAGACAACACAGTGTACCAGTAATAACTGCAAGACTAAGTGCTTATGAATTAATAGTGTTGGCTCTCAGTTTACTTACTTCATATGAATACAAACGCATACTATGCATGGGTAGAGACAACACAGTGTACCAGCAATAACTGTAGGGCTAAGTACTTGTGGGTTAGTAGTGTTGGCTATCAATTTCCATACTTTATATAAATACAAACATATACTATGCAAGGTACGAACATTGCGTGATGTCAGTAAATTCACCATATCTTGCGACACATAATGAGATTTAACATAAGGTATAAGCGGGTATATATATTTCTTTCTAAGAACATCAAAGGTTTCACAGACAAACAGTATGTGAAGTTCAACTTCAATAAAATATTTTTTTCTTAAATTTACAAAATAAACAAACCCTATCCTTAAATTCTGTCTTATTGTATCTACCAGTTTCTATAGCAAGACCGTAATTTTGGCATCTGAATCTAGCCATTGAAGATCTTAAGTAATAAGGAATATCACCTGACAAATATGATTCTACATTTAACAATGATTTGAACTGTCCATAGTAGTTACACTTGGAGGAAGGGCTTAAGCTTGAGATCCATAACTGTTGCAAATTATCTGATAATCTTTGTCTGAATAGAGAAATGAAAGATTTTATGCAATCAACCTGCTGGGAAACCCAGGCAAAACCAAACCCAAATCTAAATAAGATATCTCGGATGTGTGTGACCCAGGTAGTACGGCCTACATTATCAAGGGACATAAGCATCTGATAACACTGGTTTTGCAACCTACTAGGAGGTAGAGTAATGAGTCAACACCAGTATTTAACTGCTCTGGTCAGGTATACCAGCTGTAGAGGCAAACGCCCACATTCCCCCAATACCATATTATCTGATGTAGATATACCAACTCTAAGAATCCACTTACAGAATTTCAACTGTGCTCTTTCTACTTCTTTACTTTAGTATATACCCCATAATTCTGAGCCATAACACACAATTGGCACGACCATACTATCAAATATCTTTAGTAAATCCTTACATGGCATACCTCCAACCCTCTTAGGTTCCTAGTATGTTGATCTGCCTTCAGTTGTTGGCGATCTATAGCCCGTTTTTATATTGTATTGTCTTCGTAAATAAAATAGTTTTACATGTTCATGCTAGTTTTAGACTCCATCTGTGATACTCTAGTTATTTTACAGTCCTTCGATGACTGATTATTTAGCAACTTTAATTTATTGTTTATGTAAAACATTTCTCGTCACTATATGGCTGAAATATTGCCGAGGTGACGTTAAATTCTAACTCACTCACTCACTCCAACCCTCTTAGAATACCCGTAAATTGACATCATAGGTTTGTTTGCTTGTGAGCGAAGACAAAATTGCGCCTTGCTCCAAGATAATTTTCGAGTGAAAACAAGTCCTAAATATCTATATGAGGACACAATATCAATTCGTTTTCCTTGAAAATACAATTTTTCATATGATCGAAGCGGACCACCATTGCGAAATACCATTATTTTAGCTTTATCCAAATTTATCTTCATTCCAGTTTGATCACAGAATGTTTCCAAAGCATAGATCTTACGCTGCATTTCTAGGCAGGAGCTGGCTACTGAAGACACATCATCAGCAAGCATGAGAAGACATAGGTTATTAAATGTTTGGGAAATAAACACACCTCTCCCACCGCATTCTTGCATTATTTTTTCTAGTTTGTTTATAAAGATTATGAAAATCTGTGGACTCAAAATACAGCATTGACGGGTACTGATATTGCAACTGAAATACTCGGAAATACCATCCGACATTCTCACAGATGCACAAAATTTTGAATACATTGACAAAATTATTGGGAGAAACTTGCCACTAATACCAACTTCGGAAAGACTGTTCAGAAGTACATCATGTCTTATTGAATCAAACGCTTTGGAAAATCAACAAAAAGACAATAAAACCTACCACCTTTCCTTGATGAATATTTCTGACATATAGAATATAAAGCAAAAACGTTATCAGTGGTTGAATAATTTTCCCTAAATTCTGCCTGCACCTCACTTATACAGTTTTGGTCATCACACCACTGTTTAAGTCTAGAATTCATAACTGAACAGAACGTTTTACATAATGCACCTATTATTTGGGTTTTCTTTGTCACCAGATTTATGCAATGGACAAATAATACTTTTCCCCCACTCTGCTGGAAAATCCCCAGTATCAAAGATCTAAACCCACTTGTAGCAAATTCGTACTTTGATAGGGGCTCCGAATAAATTCGCAAATATTTTATCTCATGCATACTTGAAACACAAGCCTTTTGTTGAGGTGAGAATGCCAGTCCAGGGTCGCACATGCACTCGGAGTTGACACAGACGGAGCTAGCCAAGTAACAGTCTGTGTTGTTCTGACACGAAGATCCAATGAAGCCTTGAGCTGAAAAAACAACAACGAAAAATACCATTAAAAATGAGATTATCGTATTTACAAACATGAACCAATATCTATTGCAACACGTACGATATAAAGGTTAAAAGTGTAACCTCATAAAACGTGTGAAAGTTAAAACAAGTTTGAATTGACAAGTAAATATAGGAGTCAAGATTACTGAACACACTGAGACAATGGGAACTACAAGAATACAAAATCTCATTTCAAACGCAAAGTTTCATTACAAGAATATATGCTTTATGGGCACATCAGTCTAAGAAACCAAGGTTTGTTTGACATTTTGTAACAGTTTCACTGAAAAAAATATTGATAGCAGGACGTAAACTGTATATATATTTTAATATATTTTAATTGTTAACAGGGCGGTAAACATTTAGATACTTTTTTCTCACAAAACTAACATCATAAGACCTGCACACATAAAGTTAGTTACGTAATACAAGAGTCATATTCCCTTGGCCTCGGGCAATTCGCATGTGGACCTTGGCTTCTTAGACTACAAAGTGGTTGCTTGCCACTGGATATCTTCAGGTCATTGGAGAAGAAAATACTAATGATAAGTATTTTACAATATATTTAGCACTACCCTCGTTTCCATAGAAGACCACCTTGTCGTCATGAACACATAAAAGTCCCAAATCATTTACTAAGCACTACTTCGCCATCTGGCTGACGTGTTTACAAATTGTAACGAGACATATTCAACGCTTTTTGAGTTCAGATTTAGAAAAGGAAAACGGACGGCAGATAACTGTATACCACCGTTTTTCAATATGCACTTTTCTTGTTGAGGTAACCATTTATCAGAGAATGTTTTCTTTTGAAAATGTCTCTGAAATTTGAAGGTTACACTTTCCTGAGACTCATGAGCCAGTCTACTCGAGAAGAAAAGGATGGTTTGTTTGGGGGTGAAAACAAGGGCAAAAGCTAATAACAGGCAAGGAAGGTAATCAGTTCATGTGGTGAGAACACTCCAAAGACTTTCAGAACTACTGTGGCGCCATCTCACACCAACCTATTAGATTGAGATGAGTTGATTTGTACGTCGCATCGGCATTATTTCAGCCATATAGCGATGAAGAGCCTATTCGGTTGCCTAATCCCCAGGATGTTGTACGGTCATACCATATACCAACTGGAAGAAGACATCAAGATTTCCAATAGTCCTTTGGCATAGTATGTTATTATTATTGCTTTGTCATGCCAGATCTGATCTATTAATAATGAATTAAATCTGCCATCCTTTTAATTATTGGAGTGTTCCGTTGCTTCAACAAACCAGCAACATATACACAAAGAGTTTAGTTATTATTAAGCACCCCCCGACATATCTCACGATTGAATGAACCCCGATCGTAACACTTTGGTGCCATGACCATGATTTTGCAGAATAGGCTGCAGGAAAATCCTGCTCATATCTTCACTTCCAATTTGTTAGAATGAATTAATAACTTTGGCTGTTAGAGGCAATACCTTCAAAGCGGGTCCAAGTTGCGCAAAATGATTGTTACCCCGAGAGGGTACGTAAGTCCAATTCCATTCAGAGATTTGTCATACTACGTTCCTCATAGGTGTTCTCTTAATGTTTGCCTAAACTGGAATACAATCACTACCGACTGAAGGGATGATATAAACCCAGCTAGGGTTCATGCAGGTAGTAAAAGCACTGTAAGTCCCCATGGTCCCTAGTATGATGATCTACCTTTAGTTGTTGGCAATCTACAGCCTGTTTTAATATTGTATTGTATTAATAGTAAGAACGTTTTAGATTTACAAACTAGTTTTTCATCTAAACCTTTGACCTTCTAGTGCTTTTTACTGTCCTGTGTTGACAAGTTTTTAAAATTCAGCTCTGTATTTATCATATATTTAGAACTTGTTTTAGACATGATACTGCTGAGTAATTGGTGAAGTGACTTTAATATTAACACACTCTCAGTCACACTCACTCATACCTTCACTTGCATTAACACAAAGTATTTTCAGGTCAGAGCACAAGCCAAGTGTGTTAATTGACACCGCACTATGCATCAATTCAGCTACATTAAGGTAATCTTTATGTATGCGGAATAAGATGGGATACCAAATTGAAATGTAGAAAGGTTACAGTATATTGAATGAAAGCATTATCTTGGTAAAGGCATCCCATTGTAATGGCTTCTGGGGGATGTAGAGGGTATCCATTTCTTATACAGTTTTGGTGAAATGCATAGAATACTGGCTAAAACTACTTCCAATGGCATCTAATAGACTTTCCCATGAATGCCACTTAACCACCTGGAATCAGTTGGTAAATAGAACAGGACAAGTACATCTTTAGTTCAAGTCTTGGCTGTGCACAATGTTGGATATATCGTTAGTTTTCGTAATCAAGTCAGAATGAAAATATGTACAGTAGTAATGAACAAATACGTTAGCATCAATCAGAGATGAATTTTATCCAAGTTTAAAGATAAGCCAAGAAGCAGAGAAATATTTAATATATTTTCCCGTGTGTACATTTGCTATCGATTTCCGCACAAGACATTTAAGTACAGGGCATTTCCGTACAAGGAATACTATTTATACCAGGAAATATCACAAAATTAAAAGATCTGAAATTTTATAATTTGGGAAAACAACATACAAGATCTGTTTCATTTCAAATTGATGTGTCTACATCTTGAAGACCTTTCAAAGCAATAGACACCAAATATGTTATTAAACATTTTATTGGGAGGGAAAGACTTACATTACTCCCTTCGAGGATATAATCCGCACTTTTCAATGGTTATTTATGGGTACATGGCTAATTGTATGAACAGCATCATCGTATTGTGGGTTGTTTACGTCTTACAAAAAAACATGGAAGTATAATACCAACAGTTGGTTACATGCCATGTAATTGTTCATATCTAAGTATTGTCACTTATTATGTTTCAAAGTGACACTCCTGCTCTAGACAGTATGTCATCAATGTTTCAAATATCACGAAAAGGCCCAGAAAAGTGTAAACACGCAAACATGTATCATACTACATGTACTTTGTGTAATACTCTGACACGTATATGTTTCATAACATGAATTACCTTTCTCCGATACATACAGCATATATCCCGGGGCTGATTCGCTTTCGGAGTTCTCGTTAAAGGCGACGGCGTAGCCTCTACAGACTGATCCTCCTGAATTCACTTGAAAGGCAACGCAGGCTTTCTCTTGGAGACAGAAGGTGGCACATTCATTTCTATTCACTGATGGTTTTGTCCAAAACAACCACCTTGAAAACAGTCGATTGTCAAACGTCATGACATGAGAGTATTTGATATTCTCGCAACCTGGATTGGCTTGAATTCTCTCTTTCGAAACTCGCAGAAATAGAATCAAGATGAAAACGCCAATTTTCTCCATGATTTGGCCATCAGGCTTAATGGCATACATCTTAAGCGTGTTCACACGGTCTCCAAATGGATCACTGATCCGTTCACATGACCAACCTCCTGTCAGTCTGCAGACTCGAAGAACCATACAGTGTTGTCAGAATTGATTCTACTTTATTATAAATGTATGTCCCCATCGACATCACTTGTTTTACTTCGTTGGTTTGTATTCATTTTTGATTGATCCAGCCATCTGTAAAGTAGTTATCAGCCAAGAGCACATTTGGAACTTAGTGATTCTTTCCGTGTGTTATCAGGGCCTTGGGACAAGCACAGGGTGAGTTTGATTAAGACTGTGAAGAACTGAGTCTGGACCAGGCAACCATGGGTTATCGACATGGGCAAAGCAGCAAGTAGTCACAATTAATTATCATTTTGTAAAATGTAAACTGCAAAAACCTCACCCCCACATGGTTGTTCGTACACCTTTAAGAACGTAAAATATGTGGATGTCTATTAGGGCACCATTTCGAGGAAAAAATTAAAACAAGACATAATAAAGACCAAATGACATGAAGAATGTTGGGGGGGGGGATACAAGTAGAAAGGTTGGCCGTTGATGAAAAACACAGAAAATAAAAATGCTGCTCTTATTGAACAGTATCTTTTCCTGCTCACCAAACTGTTCTGAATGCAGTTGAGATATTCACACACACACGCACACACACACGCACGCACGCGCGCGCGCACACACACACACGCATCTGTATAAGACTTTTGATTATCATCTGAGGAATATCAGTGCCATTCGTCTTGTTCACCAACCCAGGAAGATTTTGATCTTCTGCAACCCCTGCTTGTTAGTGACAACTAACAAGATCGGGTTGTCTGGCTCGCGGGCTTGTTTGACACATGTCACCGTACCTCAATTGATGGATGCTCATGATGTAAATCACAGGACTGTCTGATTGACAAACGTTAACGTCATGTCATTACCTTAAGACCCTAGTATGGTGATCTAGTTGCTAACAATACTTAGCCTGTTTTTATACTGCATTGTCCTCATACACTTTTAGAAATATATGCTAGTTTCAATTCTTGTTTCTGTGATATTCTAATTGGTTGTACTGTCCTTTGTCAACAGGATGTTCTAATTTTGGTGTAGTGATTATGAATCTGTAACTAGTTCTGGTTACGATATGACTAAAATACTGCGGATGTGACTATAAACTGTTACTCACTCACTCACTCACTAAGTAGTGAGTGAGCAGGGTTTGACGCCCCTTTTAGCAATATTCCAGCAATATCACGTGTGGGGACACCACAGATGGACTTCACACATTGTACCGATGTGGAGAATCGAACCCGGGTCTTCAGCGTGGCGTGTGGACGCTTTAACCATTAACCTACCCAACCATCCTTACACACTCCAGGAATCAGACAATTGCTTCAGAATTGATTTTACAGATACGCATGTAGACACGACCATATCTATTCCCATTGAGACTTGCTTTGCTTTGTTAGTTTGAATAGATAATTAACTGGTTCAGTCATCTGTTGTACTACGTATCAGCACACTGCATAGAGTGTGGCTCAAGGTTTCCTATTGTATAACATACAAACTTTCTACACCACTGTGGATCAATTTCTTCACCCCAGAGGCTATAGCCAAACGCGGCATGAAATCAAATTTATCATATCTGAGTTACTGATGTGTATTAGGATTTTAGTCACATCGGCAGGATCTCAGCTATATCGTGACTGAAGTTATAGATTCATGTCACATACACGCAGAGTATAAAAAAAACTGTTGACGAATGAAAGTAAAAACAACTAGAATATCATCGGTAAAGATCCAGCATGTAAATCTAAAACAGTATACAAAACAGGCTATAGATCGCAAATAACCGAAGGTCAATCACCATACTAAGGACCCTAGTTTGAGACGGCAAAGTTTTAGGGATGGCTCATCAGCCTCTACATATAAACTACGAACTGGTGAGATTCTGAAGACCGGTGAAGGCCTGGATCAGAATCGGTCTTCAGCAACCCATGGTTGTCGTAAGAGGTGACTTACAGGATCGGGTGGTCAGGCTCGCTGACTTGGTTGACACATGTCATCGTATCGCAAATGCGTAGATCGACGCTCATGCTGTTAATCTCTGGACTGTCTGGTCCAGATTCGATTATTTACAGACCGCCGCCATGGAGCTGGAATATTGCTGAGTGCGGCGATAATTAACAAAAATCCCAAACTAACACATGATACAAATTCAAAAATCGAATCGAAATTTGGAAATGGACTACACCTGCTACCATTAAAGCGTTATTGTAGTGTGGAATGGTGAAAGATTGATCAACCAACAACAAAGCAAGATTCGTATGACGCACTTTGAAATCATCGATTAAAGAGGATGTTCAATTATACAGAAGCATGGGAAATGTAGACAGCAAGCTTTTTAAGGCTGGAACTAATAGAGTATTACTCCACAGAAAAGGAACGCCGATTGTTGGAAAGTTCGTGGAACTCTCTTGTCTCATTTTCATCAAAGAAACATCTTGCTAGACAACAGCAGCCCCCAAAATAGAAATCACAACCATCTTATACAGTGTTTTCAATTACCACCAACACGGTGAAGATGTCTGGGGACATCCATGTTCAATCGCGTAAACCTAGATTTGTATGTCCCCTTCTTTGCACTGTTTCAGACACCAAGAAGTTGATGGAAAAGAATTATATATTGTGCCACATCTCTAGAGTACAAGAAGCATACGGGACACTTCCGTTACTTTCACGAATACATGAAGTGTTATGGCATAAGCCGTGTTGACATGATCGACACTTTTGTTTTCCTCTCTAGATGATTGATACGTGACGGTACATGATGACTCCCTGTTCAAACGTTCTCAATAAGACAATAGCTCAATTTTTAAAACTTATACTGAAGGTTTGTATTGATTCATATTTCGTCTGATCGGTTAAGATTGATAACGTTTGTTTGTGGGTTGTTCAACGTCGCACCGAGCAATATTAGAGCTATATGGTGGCGATCTGTAAATAATCGAGTCTGGACCAGACAATCCAGTGATCAACATCCTTAGCATTAATCAACGCAATTGGTTTACTTTGACATGTGTCAACCAAGTTAGTGAGGCTGACCACCTGATCCTGTTAGCCACCTCTTGCGCCACCTCTTGATTGCTAAAGATGAATTCTAACCCGGATTGCTGAAGACGAATTCCAACCCGGATTGCTGAAGACCAATTCTAACCCGGATTGCTGAAGACGAATTCTAACCCAGATTGCTGAAGACCAATTCTAACCCGGATTGCTGAAGACCAATTCTAACCCGCATCTTGACGGGTGATTGCATGATAGTACGCATGATAGTACGCATGATAGAACGCAAACATAGTGGCATACGAAGGTATGACGTCGACGCTGACAAGCATAAACTTATTTGTTCAGCAAACTCAAAAGGCAGAGTATGCAAAAATCAGTTCAAACAGATGACAACAGTCGTTCGCGTTAAGAATGTTCTGTTTTTCCTGTAACACTCGCCTTTGTGTCTGTTGCTCAACCCCGCATCCAAGTCATTAATAGAGCTGTTCTAAGACAGATAGACTTCACATGTGACTGTAGTGTGTATTAGAGAATCACAATGGTTTGTCTATGAATAACATGAGTGTATTTTATTTATTGAACCTAACATACGACGTCTTTACCCTGGCCTTAGGCAACTGCACAGACGAATGCCACGATGTTTTCTTTGCTCTGAACTGCTTTATTAGCTTTCATCGTACCATATTTGGCTTGTTTGTTGTTTAACGCCAGACTCATCAATATTCCTAGCTATATGACTGCGGTAGGTAAATAATCGAGTCAAAACTATAGTAAATCTTTCGAAACTTTTCAGGGAAGCATACGGACATTTTTAAATCTAACACTCTTAGCATATGTTTCTTTGGGATTTTCACTATGTAATTCCGCACTCAGCAATTTTCTAGTTATGCGGTGGTGGTCTGTAAATAAGTCTGGGCCAGACAATCCAGTTATCAACACCTTGAGCATCAATCAACGCAATTGGGTTAGTAGGACATATGTCAACCAAGTCAGACAGCCTGACCAGCCCATCTTACCGTACGACAATTATTGGATGCTGAAGAACAGTTCTAATCCTGATCTTCACAGGTGATTATACTCAGACACAGCTATACCTGAAATATAAGACTGAACGTAAATATGAATGATACCAATATTGTTCATACAATCTACCCAGTCCCTTCACCTATTTGCAACAGTTTCTCATGATGATGTTGGTGTTTCTCTGCTATCAACCATATATTGTGCAATTTGGAAAGATTTCCTCGCAGAGTACAACTTCTAGTACTTAATGTGCACCTTATTATGAACTTATTACAATTTACGTGCGAGAAAGGATTGAGAAGGCACAGCACAAGTTAATGAATCAATAACTTTGTCGGCGCTTGTGCACGTGCTTTTCGAACACCTGGCTGTCCCTTTCTCTGCACTCATCCCTCGTAACCAATAGTACTGTGTCAATATTTTAATGATAGTTTGTTGTTAAAAAACCTTTTTCTATTTTTAGGACATAACTTCTGCAAAAACCTCAAAGAGTTGGTCTGATGTTTTGATTATGACAAGCGATTCATAGAGTATGATATGTTTATTAGTCTCGAGTTAGATTCCTATTCATCGGTCCGCTTTTGAGGCAAAAGGACTGTAATATCCGGGTTAGAATTGGTCTTCAGCTACCTATGCTTGTCGTAAGAGGCAACTAACGGGACCGGGTGGTCAGGATCGCTAACTGGGTTGACACATGTCATCGTACCCCAATTGCGTAAACTGATGCTCATGTTGATCACTGTCTGGTCCAGGATCGATTATTTACAGATAGATGGCTAGGTTGACACACGTATCCCAGCTGTGTAGACCAGGATGTCATTCACTGGATAGTCTGATCAAGACTAGATATTAACACACCGCAATCATGTAGCTGGATAGTCACTGAGTGCGGCGTTAAACTACAACAAACAAACAAACATCTTCAGAGAGAATATTTCTTCAAACCAATAAACCAAAAAATGTTGAAAGAAGCGTGATGATGCCTCCAGTTACGCCATTAG